CATTAGTTTGGAATTCAATTGTTTGGGGTAATGTTACATCAATAGATAAATGAGATAATAGGGTTAAGTATATATACAGTATGACTACTGTCCGGAGAGTACATTTTGTATTTTGTACATCTTGTGAGATTCCGAAGACTCACAATAAAGTAAGGTATATATTATGTTCGTGTATGCGACATAATATTGTGTTACCGAATACCAAAAACACAGTGATTTGCATTTTGCTTACTTCATTTTCGTAAACAGAAATATTTGCTTGAAAAAAGTCAAGCATTTTCAAACCCTGCATATTAAACAACAGTTAATATTAATTACTTATATTTTTATTTATCTATTTATTTAAAAAATGCTTTAAGAGTAAAAAAAAACCCTTCTATTGCATCATCTTAGAACTAATTTAAAAAGTAACAAAAAAGAGATAACAAAAAAAAAAGAGAGATAATATGTACTCAATATATAACAATTTACAAATTATTAAATAATAAAGCAAAAAAGAAGAAATTAATTAAAAATTAAATTAAAAAATTAAATTAAATAAATTAAAATTAAATTAAATTAAAGAATAAATAAATAAAAGAAAATTTAAGATTAAAATATTTAGAAATTTTGAATAGAAAATTAAATATTACAAACAGAAAGGTACAAAAGAAAATGACAATTAAAGAAAAATAACAGAACGGGTGGTGTCAAGATAATTCATTAATCAGCAGTTTTTTAAAAGCTCCTACTCTTGTTGTGTTTCTGGTTTCACATGAGAGCGAATTCCATACTCTGACAGAATGGATAAAGAAAAAACTTGTTGTGGAAGTGAAGTTAAATCTTGGAATAATAAATAAGAGATCTATTGGATCGTGTTTGTTACAGACAATTGAAAAGGTATTCAGGTGATTTAACATTCACGAAATTAAATAGAAACAGACACGAATCTGAATAAACTGTTCAATGTCACAAACTAAGATTGCATTCCTGAAATTATCCAGGTGATCAAATCTTCTGAGACCGTAAACATATCGTGTCATGGAATTGGTTAAACTTCTTAACTTAGTAAGAGACACCACGTCTAATTTGGAATAAACTAGCGAGGAAAACAGAATAATAGGGATTATTAACTGTTTTACCAATAAGCAGCGAGTAGCAATAGGGGTAAATCTCACGGATAGATTAAGGCATCTGAGGCAAGAGTATACTTTCCTAACTACTTGATCGATTTGGTCGAGAACTCATTCAATACCACAACAGACTGCGACCTTCCACTTAAATAGCTGAAGATCAATTTTGCCGCCGACTTAGAAAATAAGAAGGAGTTAAAAAGTTTTTTGCAAAGCAAAGAATGATCAACGCGGTCAAAAGCTTTGGAAAAATCAAGTAGACATAGATATTGTAGTAATATAAGTATTATTATAATTAGATTTATGTATGTTGATCCTTTTTTTCGAGTCAGCGCAACTGGGTACTTTTACTCTTTGATAGCTGGGGGTAATACAGGGTCCCACCCATCTCATTGACTAAATTGTATATCACTCATAAACTTCATAATTATTCAGTGATTGATCTAAGATATGCGTACCTCCCCGTGCGGAGACTGATTGCTCTAAGATTAGATAGTGGTAAGTAGGATAGCCTGTCAATTTTCGCATATAACTTCAGGGCTCTGTCCCTTATGTATTTTTTGATCGGGTCTATTCTAAGGTCTCTTAGCATGTCGTTTGTGCGGATGTACCAAGGCACTTTGAATAGACTTAAGAGGTTGTAAATAGATTTAAGAGATGCTATTTTGTAAGCAGCAAATATAGCTGCAAGCAAGTACAAAAAAGTTGAACAAGTTTGTAATCACTCCCTACAATATGTAATCAAGTTTCGATCATAGCTGAGTCGAACATCCTCAAGTACTTTCATGTTTATGTTTATTACTTACGAAATAGTAAATTTGTGTGTGAAAAAAATTTTCTATAATTTTTCTATTATTGCAAAAATCATAGCAATATTATTGTGATGGTCTAATAATGGATATTAGTAAAATGATCCAATAATTTAGTGTTTATTAAAATCATTACTATATTTTAAAATTTTTTGCTAAAAATATTGACAAACTTTATAAAACAATTCTTAACAAAAATTTAAGAGTTGTTAAAGTTAAAAAACATTAAGTATAAATTTTTTATGTTTTAATTTTATGTAATTATTTTATATTAAAATAATTAAAAAATATTCATTTTAAATTTTTTTCAGATTTATAAAAAACAGACTTCAGTGACTGAAGTGCATTCAGATAAGCAAAATGTTAATTCATGTCGGTTTGAAACAAATATAGACGAATCCATTGCATTTTCCACGGAAGACAGTTTCAATATTGCTCCTTTAATGGCATTCAAGAAACAATATGACTGCCCAGATGTCAACCGAAGTGTGCTTATTGCGTTGTCTTTATAGTTATTACAATAATGCTTGCGTTTTTCACACTTTAAAAATATCAGATATAAAGAAAATTCATTCACCTCCTACGCTTATTGTACAGATCCTTCCGGCAACATTTATATCTTTAAAGGTTACTTTAGTGGTAAAGTAACGGTATTAATGTTTAAGTCTTCACCTAGAGATTTCATACAATATTTGTCGACAAAACTTAAAGTTTATTTATGGGATTTCTCCCAAATTCACCTATTGCAACAAAAAGAACATTTCTTATTGAAAAAAATGAATCATAGCATTCACATAGATGCACCAGGTGGTGGTATTATTCGTAAGTTACTATTCAATACCAATAGAATATTATTATATTCTTTAGTCAGTCATATTTCTGAAAAAATAATTGTTTTCTCAATAGACGACGCGGTTTTATCGAATCACTCGATAACAGGGAATGCACAATTTTTGAAACATTTAAAACAATATTGTAAAAGTAAAAGTCTGTCATGGCCAATTTGTCGCAGAATTGTAACAGATGTTAGTTTCGCAATAATTGGGGCAATGTTAAAGGTTTTCAATGGAATGGATTCTGTTTTAGAATACTTAAACCATTCATATGCTTTTGTGAATAATCCAAAAAAATTGAATTTTGCTGCTATACAATTTTGTGTTAGCCACTACTGCAAAATTATTTGCAAAGATATAGACAAAACAGTAGATAAAACTAATTCCCTCAAGGTTAACAATTTAAGAAAATTCTTAAGAGAATCTATGGGAATAGTTTTCAATTTATGTACCCTAAAGGATGGCAAGGAATGGTTTAAGACACTATACGTTATTTTATGCTCCAAAATTAACACATTCAAAATAAAGAAGGCACTTGAGAGTTTGTCGAACTTAAAAGATATGACGGAATGTTCAGATTTTGACTTCAACTTCAATTCAGATGAATTTAATGAACTTCCAACTTTTGAAGAAACTTCTGATACCTTGGCTTCTGTTTCTGAAGGCAGTCCTTTTAGAGTTAAATTTATGAACTACTTTAAAAACTGTGCAGAAGATAGTATTAAATGCAACAATATTGAAAGGAATGAATTATA